AAAAGTAAGTCTTTATTACAAGTTAATAGATAGTACATGATGAATTGTTTATTTATTTTTTAAAATATATATACATCGTTTAATTTAAAAAAAAAATTACTACGCAACGATGTTTGCGAATGAAAACAAATCTTTTTGGCAGCTTCCTTCGGTTTTGTTCCANAAAGTAACAGTCTTATTATGCATAAGTCAATAGATTTGAATTAATTGTTAAAATAATAAACACTAGCCGCGTCCGGCAAAACAATTGCCCAGTTATCGTCTTGTCAATACTCGATCTTGATCTTTTATTTCTAAAGGTAAGAATCACGTTCGATTGCCACAAAGCAGCTTGTTCTGTTGCACGCAGGTTTTTAACGCGTTTGACTCTTACTTTTAGAACCAATAAATCAACGTTGAGTGTTGAGACACAAAACGACAATTCAGCAACAATTGTTCTGTTGAACGCGACCATTGTAATCACAATAGAACATGAAAAAAAAAAAAAAAGATAAGAGGCAAGGGTAAGTTCGTGCAATCGAAACGAAAAAAAAAACTCAGACGCTTTTCGTTGTTAATAATTTTTATAAATATAATTTGTTTTATAACTTCAGAGTGTATTATACAGAGAATAACACCTTTGATCATCAATAATTGAAGAATTTCAATTTCACAATCCGCCTTTCGTCAAGAGAGACGTGTGGTGTATTTCACAAATTATTGACTTGATCCGCAAATGAAGATGAAATTAACGTAAATATCATCGATTATATTTATCTTGTTAAAAACTAACACACCTCGACAATTCGATACGATTTTCTTCTTTTTTTTTTTTTTTATTTTTTTGTTTATCGTTCAGCGATTATAAAAACGAGATGACGGAGAAACGATCCGACAATTCAACATCGGACGATAAATAAAAACGTTCGCTTCGTATGTAGATAGAAGAGGGATAACAAAATAAATATAAAGCTACAACAAATAAAAACGCGACAAGCTACCACTTGGTCCAGTTCATCAATCTTTCATCTTTGTGTAAGAAGAAAAGGATAAAAAATTTATTTACGGCGTGAAAGCAGATTTTTTAAAAGCACATAATCATCGACGTTTTATTAATTTAACGAACGTGTGCTGCTTCACTTTTTTGAGAAAATTCTTTCAAATACACATTATAATCCATCGAAACTTTGCTTTAAAAAAAAAAAAAAAAAAAAAAAAAATATATATATATATATCTACGACATTACCGATTGTTATTGTAAAAGTACAGTTCGCGACGATATATATGTACAACAAAATCGCGCGCGAAGTAAAAACAAATACTCAAACGTAACTTGGCGCACAGCAATAAACATGCCCTCTAGTGTTGCATATACATCCAATGGCGAGAAATGAGCGACCTTGTAAGAAGAATCGGTTTTTTTTCCTCCAATTTTCTTTCCAAGAAAGTATCATATCGTTGTTTTCGAACAGTTTTCACGCAATGATCAACAGTAGAGACGCACGGTTAATAATTAATTAAAAATAATTAAATATACATATACAATAACATATTTATATTAGAATACCGATCACATTCAACAGATTGATACACGCTACCACACACATTGCCGGATTAATGTTACAATACATACATACGTACATACGACCAGATTGTTTCCCTTTTTTTTTCTTTTCTTTTCTTTTTTTCAAAACTCATCGGATAGCTTTGAAAAGTGAAATTCAGATGAAGAAATCCAGTGTGTATTCAGAAAGTTCTAAAGTGAAATTCGTATTATTGTGCTAAAGAAATGACAATAATGAAAGTATTGTCGAGGAAACTTTGTTTGAAAACGGTGCTGTTTTTCTTACGATATTCTAGATGTATATAAGGCATTTGATCTTTCCAGAAGAGGCAAGTTTCAACGTTTTAACAAGTATAGAAAGATGCAAAAGGTTTCCCTAAAACAGGGAGAATCAAGTATAGATAGGAAATACTAAAAGGAACACACAAAGTACATCGTCATGCAAAAGACTGAGAGTGAGAACAACTCGCACAATATGATTTTTTTTTCTCGCTAAGTTCGTATCGAAAAAACATTTCGCCCGCTACCGTTGTTGTTCGGTTTTTTTTTCTTTTTTTTCTCTTTTTTTTTTTTTACAACTAACTACGCTTCTTGATCGAAGAGATGGAAAACTGATTCAACAGACCAGGTGATATGGAAAATATGTTACATTCTGCGTGTATATATACTGTATATAAATATCTCACATTCCCCAATTGTTTCACGATGTAACGATTCACGAATCCAACAGTTTAAAAAATCCAACGGTGTTTGTTTGTTTGTTTTTTTTCAGAAAGAGACACAAGCTAAAAACCCGTAGGAACGCGGAAGCTTTGAAATGTCGAAGACTCAACGCCGGAACACAAAACATTTTTGGTTCGTCGTTCGATGAAAACGACGACATACTTTCGCAAAATATCCGATGGACACAGGATGGATCCGGTGCAAATGTTTTGTGTTCGCGTAACATCCGTCTATTTAACAACTGATAAGCTTCAAAAGACAACACGTGCTTTTTCCCTATGGACGATCGTTCGTGTCGTAATATATCTTAAGCGCTCTCTCCCGACGTGGACTATAACTTGAAGTAGTAGAAAGCGGAGTTAAGCGCGAATTTTCCTTAAAAGCGATTTCCATTACCTCGTCGGCGTTCAACTGTTTCGGTTTTTCTCTACTATCCCTGAGAACAATTTGAAAACACAATAAAATTAGCATCTGACAGTTTTTTTTTTTTTTTAAATCGAAACGTAAACATCCGGAAGTACAATAATAAATACCTGTACAAGAAAACGGCACCGTCCTCGAAATTTAAAGATAAACTATCGGGCTGCTCATTCCAATCGTGCTCGTTCTGAATCCGCAGCACAGAATTGTCACACGGAAAACTACCTTTTCCCTTTGCTACGTCTATGAATTCTTCTGGAATATCCGATATTGCCGAAAGCTAAAAAGAAAAGACCACAGCGAAATCTCGGTAAAAGATTCTCTTTCTTTCAATTTCTTAGTAAAAAAAAAAAAAAAAAAAAAAAAACTTTTCTTGCTTCTTTACATTCTTCTGGAATATCCGATATTGCCGAAAGCTAAAAAGAAAAGACCACAGCGAAATCTCGGTAAAAGATTCTCTTTCTTTCAATTTCTTAGTAAAAAAAAAAAAAAAAAAAAAAAAAAACTTTTCTTGCTTCTTTACCTTTTTCTTCAGTTCTTCGACAGTTCTATTGTCCATAACAATTTCTTGAAACTGGGTCAATTGCAATTTTGCCGGTAACCATCGTCTGACGAACAGAACAATCTGATTGGGATCCGTGACCGTTTCTTTGTCCGGTAGTTCTTGAACGATCATCTCAAATTGCGAGTGAAGATCCTCGAATTTCTGCTCGTCCAAGAATACCTTTGACGCCGTCTTGTAGCACTTCTTCCTAAGCCGGCACTTTTCGTACGGTATATCTATGTCGTACTTCTTTTTTATTTCCGCTAGTATCTCTTTCTTCGCTTGCCCGACCGTCATGTACTTCGAGACGATCCATTCGCACAAAAATTTATAAGGCTGGTAAACAAAATTTCAATTTATATAAAACAAACAATTTTTTTAACAAACAAAAAGTTTTACACAAACCTCGGCGGAGTCGATCAGCAGCTGATACAACTTCACTTTGAATTCTCCGCTACGCAGGGCTCGTCCGAGTTTCACGTTTAGTCTCTCGCCGTCCCCGTACAATTTGAGCTGTTCGATTAAGGAAACACACTCGGACTCGCCCGAATTGGACACGCGAAAAACTTTGAAGTACTCTACAGGCACACCCACAAACGGCTCTAAATTTTTCTTCAACGTGCTTAACTTCATTCTCTTATCTACTAATACTTTAAGTACTGCAAACAAAAAAAAGATTTAATTAACACACACAAATCTCTAATATTTAGTCACTGAAGATAAACTTTTGGGACGACGTACATTTTTGTTGAGTGCTGTCCGTATAAGGTGTAGCTCTGAAGTAATATTCGGAATCGTCGTCGTCCCAGTTCTCTATTTCGAATTGCTTCGAAATCTTGTAGTCCCTTCTGTAATTGTAGTCGTCCCTGTAATTGGCTACCCCACGACTATCCCACGACTGTGGCTGAATGTCAATGCTGTCCGGCGCGTCGCCGACCAACGTCTTGTCGCTATCGCTAAGACTGCTATCCTCGCTATTACTCTGCTCGGGAGTGTTCCACTCTTCCGCTTCGCCCAATTGAGGACTTATATTTCGAATGGAAGTGTCGTCGCTAGTTCGCCCGCAACCTTTCGCGGATTCATTGTACTTCGAGCCGACGTCCCAGTGTTGTTCCGTGACGCTCAGTTTCGACGACGTGCTGCTAACGGACTTTTCCTTCTCCTCGTATTTCTCATCCAACGACGGGATATTAAGTTCTTCCAATATTTCTGTATTAAAGTATTTAGAACAAAGATTTTATGCTTTTTAGCAATTTAAACTCACATAATTTTGCCATGCGAAAACAAAACAAGATATCTTGTGGTGTACTTTACCTTTGTTGACATCTGGCAATTGGACGTTCAGAAAAATGACGTATCTAAAGTTCTCTATGACTGTGTAAACTGTTGATTCTTGAAAAGGCTTGGTATTATCTAAATCGTACATCGTTGATACAAATACTTTCGCGTTATAAAACCCTTCGCTCTGCAGATCACTGTTGTCGTTTTCCACCGGTATGGTGTCGGGATACTTTCGCAACACTATTTTCATTTGCTTTGGATCCATATTAATTACCTTTCCTACGATTTGTTTATAGTCTTTAACACTTTGCCACGACGAACCTCGAACATCGATCGGACCGTCAATTACCTCTTCTCTGGCTACGTCTATGACAAATACCTTTGTCGCGACTCCTGAAAACGCGTGAAGTTCGAAATTTTAAACGACGTTTAATCTCCGACAACACAAGTGTTCGACACTTCTATTCAAAAGACAAAATACTACTCACCACCCGGCAAATACGTTTCGAATTTCTGATCCTTGTTACGAATTTCCAACAGCAAATCGATCCGTCGCGATGTAAGCAATATACTTCCGACTGATGTCTGCTCCTTATCGTCGTAACTGCATTCTATCAAATCGGTATTGGGTTCGTAACTGACCAAACGGCACTGATCCAAACTGACCACGTTCTCGAGACCGAATTTCTTGTACGCCTTTTCGGTCGCTTCGGCCCAAGTGATGTCGGGCATAACGTACAGCTTGTTCACCAGTTTTCCTTCTATCGGATGGCGACAGTATATCTTCAACCTGGGTATCGACATTTGCTTGTCGCGATTCTTCCTATCGTTATCCTCGCTTTCCTTCATTTTTTTCAACAGTTCCTGACCAACAGAAGAGACGTACAATTTTTTTTTTTTATATAAAATAGTCGCAAAATTTGTGAGAGATAATTAACAAATTCTTGTTTTCACTCAAATGTAAAAAAAAACTTTTAACTCTTCTTCTTTTTACCTGAATATGCCGTGGAAAATCTTGGGTTTCGATAGGCAACGCATTGCGAGCGCGATCGATTTGTCTGTACATGAGCATGTAAGCGTTTGTGCTACAGCTGTAAGCTCCGCTGTAATACGCCCTCGAAGGTCCGCCACCGTACGTTTTCTGAATGTCGTCGTGAGTTATCTGGAAACAGCGCAACAAAAACAAACGATCAACACACAGAGTTGTCACATTCCGCATTCAAAATAAATAATAAAAAAAAAAAAAAAACTATTTGCGAAACCGCTTATCGTACCCGAGTGACACTTTGGTCATTAAAACATAACCACTGTTGCGTTCGGAAATCTTTTATATAAGCGTAATAATGACCTCCGCTCGCGCTGCCGCTATGAATCATTATCGAGAACAGTTCGTATATGTACGGGCCTTTTCGCAACATGTTCCCGACCATGTTTCCCAATAGTGCGGCGCGATTCTTTTCGTTATCGTGATGCGAATTGCAGCTCGACGTGGACGGTCCGTTGCTCATATCAATACCTGAAAAAAAACGTACGTGACGCATTAACGAGATAAAAACAAAAACTTGTTGCGGCAAACGATCGGATTTCAACGCGTATTTATGTCACATACCCTCGTCATCGTCTTGATCGTGATTAGTCGAGTGATTACTGTTGGACAGACTGTTGTCACACGGCACGCAATCATCGTCCAAGGTGCCACTATCTGTTGTTGAACTATCGTCGCATTTGATACCCAAGCCGATATCCTCCTCGCCGCCGGGAGACTCTTGACTCGTCGTGGTCGGAATAAAAGAGTTCAAGTCTAATATGTCCGGGAACGTAACTCTATATAAAGAAAAAAGTATATGTGCAATTATGACGAAGAAGAAAATAAAAGAGTGCTTTTTATGTCAGTGAAATACAGTTTACGTACTTGTCGTTTAGTTTGATCCGATGGAAAGTTTTGTAATCGAAATCGAATCGCTTGAGATGTAAGGTTAACAAATACGGGAATTTGGTGAACTTCAATCCTTTATGAGCGTCGCACTTTTTGTTGCATTTTTCGCAGTGATACTGATTGGCTCCTTCCAATGTTTCGTACTGGACAAACGCTCTGAGCGCTTCCGCCTGTTCGAAAGTAAAATCCTTGGATATTTGTACACGTTTATGAAGTAGATAACATTTTATAGAGATTCAACTATGTATTACCACACTGTTGTACGCGACGTTGCTTCCGAACGGTCTCACAGGTAGCGGAATATCGAGAAACGTGTCTTCCCTCGTTTTCTCCGTTCCACACTCGAGACACTTGACGTAATCGATCATTTTTCCTGCCGAAAAAAAAAAAAAAAAAAAAACAAGAGACAAATTGCACGGACGTTTCCGAATTACTTACGTAATTGCGACATTTCATACCTTCGTAAAGCCTGTTGATCAAATCAGACTGTTCCGTATTTTTGAATTTCTGTTCCAACGCGTCGAACATAACTCTACAAAGTTCCTGAATATCATGCTGCTGCCACGCCTCGGTGGAATCCCATCCGAAACTCTTTGTTAAGGATGTAGTTTCCACTGCGGATTTTGTAGACGTCTACATTCGAAAAGCGTTTCATAATCACGTTAAGAAAAAAAAAAAACGTGTGTTCAATAATACTAAGTTAATTACGAACGCGCAAGTTATTACCTGCAAGTTGAGAAATAACTTCTGCAACTGATACGGTATACTTAGAGCTTCATCTTTTTCCGAACCGTCTACGTATTCCCAGTTGTACAGCGCATTGCGAAATTCCGGCGTCATGTACAACGCTTGGAGAAGACTATTCAAATAACAGGTCATTGCTTGATTGACTAAACCAACGTAATCTACAAAAAGAAATTAAAAATATATTAGTTCCGTGATAAAAAAAAAAATCTCATTAATTACAGCAATCGTACCGTTAATGTGTACGAAAAGATATTTAAGATATATTTAAATTCTCAATATCACTCACTTGTCTCGGTTTTAATAAAACTTCTTAAATTATCTTCTTCTCTATTATCTCTAATATCTTCTTTCGTATCTTCCCTAACGGTATCTTCCTCCGCTCCCCAGATTGGTTCCTGAAGCGATCCCCAGACGGGCTGTTGAAGCGCTGGCGCTTCAACCTCACTTTTGAGATTACGTTTCGGCATGTACTCTTTCATGGTTTTCAATAAATTTTCATCAACGATGGCTCGTGCCGGATCACCAACGAGTAGAACATTTTTTATTTCGGATAAACTCGGATCGGTTGAGAAATCCACTCCGATTTCTTCCATTGTTTTATCCTTCAGTGGAGCCAGATCGATCTGATGAACATGTGTGTAACAAAACATTTCTTATAGAAGATACACTATTAATTACGTGCGTGCAACATTTATATAAAAATGAGAATTGTTATAAATACAAATTTATATGTAAAAAATTGTAAATAGTATACCATTCTGCGTGACGTGAATAAAAGTAATCTAAAGCTATCGGGTCGCAATTGATACTGCTCCTCAATGTGGGTATAAAGATCCTTCACTCGTGTAGATACATATAAAGAGAATTTGTTATTCTTGTTATTGAAAAGGTTGGGATTAGGCTCGAATTGAAACTGTACCGCGCATACTTGAATCTTCTCGTCTGCTTTGCAAACCATGATCTGTAAGAAAAACAAAAAAAAATCGTCGCAGTTCTTAACTTTTTTTGACAAATAAAAAAAAAAAAAAACCAAAAGATTGCATACAATATTTGCATTTTTTCTTTTGCACATGTTTAGCAACGAATACAGCGCCAACCTTCATTCGCTTCTGCTACACTGCAGAAATTACTTCAACAACAAGCGAGAAAAGACAAACTTTTTATCAGTGATAAAAGAAAAACATGGATTTCGTAAAGTGATTGTTGAAATTTTATCAGACACTCTCTCTCTCTCTAACTGAACAAATAATTGGCGTTCTGCCCATACTGGACGGTGAAAATGATCAAGATCTACGCAACACAGCAGGATGTTGCTCTGCACGGCATGACACAGTACGGAAAGCCTATAGAGCCTCCAGCTATATTTAGAATGTCTAAACCAAGCTTGTGTGAAATGGCTCTCTTTTCTGAGATTGCATCCTCTCCTCTCCTCTCCTCTCTCTCTTTCCCTCTCTCTCTCTCTCTCTTACTTTTTCCTGTCTGCTCTTCCACTTTATAACCTTTCTTTTTTTTTTTTTAGATACAAACAAAACAACAATAATTGCAACAATTACTCTACTCCACTTCACAATTCATTATTAATTAGCTACTAATTTTAAAATACCAGCCTGTTCTACATAAATTTAAGTTCGTTGTTGCATTTCTCTTTCCGCATTTAAAATTATCACAAATATCAAGTTACAGTTTTTATCTTATTTAAAAAAAAAAAAAAGTTATAAAAAACAACGTTATCTACTTATATAATAATTTTTGGAAAAGTGTGTCTGACAATTGAAAGACGAAAAGCACGAAAAAATCACACGCACCTCAATAAACAATAAACAAATTTACACACTGATTTTTGTTAAATAGTTTATAAATGTGTTTAAACTCACCTATAAATTTTCTTTATGTACTATCTATTATTGACGTATATATCGTAATAGGAAGCTTATTTTTAATCAACTCTGACCCAACCTAAAAATATACATCAGAACCATGTAAATCGACGAGGTGGGTAAGGTTTGAAGAAACTTGGAAAGAGAGAAAACTGAGAAAGCGCGCTTTGGCCAAGTAAATATCGTGCGGGCAAGAAAACGTTTAACAATTTTCGATATTTTACGTGCGTTCGATATTGTGACATCTCTTACAACATTTATCTCGCGTAACAATCAATATAATACAGAAAATAACAACAACAACAACATTTGGCCGAGAGTGAATATTCTCGACGTTTGACTTTTCAGTCATTAGAGCCAATTTCGTTCTCGTCAATCGTCACAAAAAAAAAAAAAAAAAAACTCAACACAATACAAACTTCACACGAAAGAGTCGCACAGATCGAGCGAGCGTGCGGAAAAAAAAAAACAGTTTTGCAACAACACGAGAAAGAACAACGAAGAAAGAAGATTGTTGTACACATTCGCGAGGAATCTCTCCCGAGAGATCCAATTACACACACACACACGGTACCGCATTCTATCATTACGCGACGAAGTGTTATACCCGTCGTATTACGCGTCGCCGTCCCGTCGCTTTAACGCGCTTATAAATATCTCTCTCAAATTTTTGTCGCGAGAGAAAATCACAACAATGTTGCCCCCCGCGCGAGAGAATCGGACGCACTCTCAGGGAAGATTAGGAATGCCCTCGTCGCGCCGTGCCAAGAGGAGAAAAAAATCTTATTGGGCCGGTGGGATTATATCCGATCGCGCGTGCGATCCTTGTCCGCGCACGGGGAGAGGATCCCGTCGTCGCGAGGCGAAATGGTCGCGGACGTAAACGCACGCGGACACGTTTAAAATAAAATCGTGCATTACCGCAAACTGCGTTAACAACCGCAACGCAGTGCGTGTCTTCTCGACGATGGCTGGATTGTACCCCCCCAAAACGCGAGCGGTTTATCCGCACCGACGGACTCGCGGAGAGAGACTCGCCGAGACCGCTCTTCTTCGCGCGTCTCTTTCTCTTTTTCCCTCACTTCGCCCGTGTGCGTCGCACGCTCTTCCTTCGGGTAAAATTTCCCCCGCGGCGCGCGTCCACCCGCACGTTCGTTCTCCTCCTCCCCCCGCCCCCCGGTGCGGCCGCTCCTGGCGATAGTCGAGTCGAGTCGCGATAAAACCCGCTCGGCGGCCGCGCGCTCGCAATATTCCCACCGTCTCTCCCGAACTCAGGAACTGACCTCTTACCCGAAAAATTCACTGACACATGTGCAACACACTCACTTTACGCCATGTCCTTTTCTCGTGTTGCTCCTCTTGTGTGTACGGTGACACATCTGTCTCGTCTCTCCGCTCGGAGCCCGTCCGACGCCGCCCTCTCCCCGTCGCTCGGCGAAACCGCGTGTCGTTGTTGAACGGGATCTCTCGTTTGTTGATACAAGCGGATGGGAATCGTTTCAGAGAGGACACAAGAGTCCGAAAGATGTCGTAAAGATCTGAGAGGTGAGTACAATAATTTAGACGTCTTTTTGAATATCTTTACGACGTCTTTCGGACTTTTGTGCTGAACGCAAAGATAACGGATCTTAAGCCCGTTCTACATTGATCGCAAGCGCAAACGCACGGTATAGATCTCGTAGAATTGACCAATCACGCTGGTCAATTGACCGATTTGATCAATACGATTAGTCAATTCTACCAGACCCGTACCTTGCGTTTGCGCTTGCGATCAATGTAGAACAGGCTTTAAGCCCGTTCTTTCATTGATCGCAAGCGCAAACGCAAGGAACAGATCTCGTAGAATTGACCAATCACGCTGGTCAATTGGCTGATTTGATCAATACGATTGGTCAATTCTACCAGACCTGTTCTTTGCGTTCGCGCTTGCGATCAATGTAGAACGGGCTTTACATTTTCCTTCAATCCCGTTTACACGAGTTGCTGCAAGACGCGGACTGCAGTCGCAACTGGTCTAGTTTCCACCGAAACCCTCAACTTCGGTACAGATCAAATTTAGTGTTCCGTTTCCATTGGAAGTAGAGTACTTATAGATCAAAGCGGAAGCGAAATCAGCGAAATTTGACAGGTTTCCATCGACTTAAATTTGATTCTACGTCGCATTAGATGTGAATTAATGCTTCGGTGGAAACTAGACCACTGAGAGAATTCCGAGAGCGACCATCATCTCATCGCACATACGTCCATCGTTGTGAATGGATGACGCCACGGACAACAAGAGTCGTAAAAAAAAATTACAATAATTACAAATGACCGCGTCATGGTGGGACAAGCTCGAACTCGATCGAATGTGTTTGGCTGGTTGAACGCACCAATGGGTGCGTTCAGACAACTCAACGGTTGAGAGATAATCACTCATGATTGGATCATACTTTTGGAACCGTAGCAGATTTTGAAGAATGGTCCTATCACAAGTGACGATCTCTCCAACCGTTGAGTTTTCTGAACGTAACCAATGCAAAAGAGAGCTTTAAGGTCAACTGCGTCGGGCCATTGGTCGAGTTTTTCTTGGAAGGGAGTTCGATCACTCTCCTCGGCCAATCTTCATTCAGTCTCGTTCGGTCCGCAGTTCGCGATCGGGTGGGTTCGGGACAACGACGCGCCGCGTCTCACAACGCAATCAGACGAGTTCGCAACCGGAAGCGTCGCTGACACGCGTTGCATGTTTCGTGCATACTTCCGATCGGCCATCTTTTCTACTCTCGTGTGGATTTTGTGAAGAGCCTGCAACGGAATTGCCCCGCGTCTTGTTCTTCGAACGTCAATTTGGTGAGTAAATCACTTGCGCAAGCCGAGATATCCGCGCGACGGCGGTAATAGGGTTCGGTTTCTCGCAACTTTTGCTGCGATTCGAACGAGATTCGCGAACAATCCGTCTCTCGAAATCGGGGGGGGGTCTCGTTCCCGTACCGGCGTCTGGTTTTTTTTTCCTCACGCAGCTAAGCCACGCGAAGAATCCGGTTTAGCCGAGCATCTTCTCACGTTCGACAAATCACGCAAACAAAATCGGTATTTTCGCCAGCGGCCAGGTTTCTGATCTTTCCGCTCGGATTTCTGCGGATGTGATTTTATTTTGCCGCGAATTTCTGATTGCGCCACGCGAAAATTGCCAGAAACGTTTTCGCGCGTTCGTTCAACGCGGTAATGTAAACTATGCGAGTTACGTATATATTAAGCGACTACTAGTCTCTCTCTGTTTCTTCTTTGTCCCCTCGTAATTCGAGGAAAGAGGGAGACAGACGGAAACGTGTGCGTAATTTAGGAATGTACCAAATGTGTTGCTTTTGATAACGAGATGAAAACCTGTCGATAAGAGACAAAACCTGACGTTCCGGTGAATCATTCTCTTGCGTGTTCTTACGCAGTCGTTTCGGTAATTTTCCACAGGCGGCCGCCGCCGCCGTCCTTCGCGGTCTCGTCCAAAATGACGAGTCGGACGGATTTTTTTTTTTTTCGGATTTTTGGCGGCCTCTTTCGATCGTTTCGATCGATATTCCTACTCGCGCACGTGTGTTTTTCTCGCGGATAATAATACCCCGTAGCGCCGTAGGTTCCTCGGCAAGATTCCAATTATTGCGTGTTCTTTAGCGACAAACGCCGCCGCTACGGTTTACACAATTTGGACGTCTACCAACGATATTGCTTGAAATTATTGAAATTTGTTTAAATTCTAAAGTTAGCGATTGTAAACTCTGTGAGTTGGACAAATAATCCAACTACCGGTGATATACGAGTCAGTGTTCAAATTCGTAAAATTATTTATCTTTTTACTAAAAAAAAGTGGTTTGTTTTTTTTTCTTTTTCTTTTTTTACGAATTTACGAAGAGACGAAACACGGGCGGACGTTTCTAAAAATCGTGTCGTCTGTTGTGCCAATTTGAAATAATTTTTTTTAGCGACGCTTTGCACCGTGCGCGACTTTTAAAAAATAACTTTTGTTGAATAAACTTGGTTTTATCATTTATCACCCGATATGAGAAATTTGCAGCGTCACTGAATCGATCAAATTGGATCTTATCGATCAATTCTGTCAAAATTTATTTATTGTACTTTTTTTTCCAAACTTGTTATAAAAAAAAATTGTATTTTTAGATTTCGTCAATTGTTTATTATATTGTTTTTACTTGAATACACCGGAAAAAGTAGCTTACGTTTTATAGTCACAAATATTCACGGTCATCTCTCACGACTTCGTGCGTGCGAACGCAACGGAAGAGGCGCGCGGAACATACATACATACATGCATGTATATGCAAAAGCGAATTCAATCGCATTCAATACACGGACGCGCAATTTGGCAAGGTGAATATTCTGCCGCGCTTTCTAGGCGTCGCTTGTGGTCGTCGACGCGCATGCGCGCAGTGTTCTTTTCTCTCCTATCATCAAGGAAGACCGCCATTTCCATATTGCGCGTGTGCTCGTCGTGTGAGAGTCGCGTCCGACCGGCACAAGTGGATTCTTCTTCGTAATCTCTTTCCCCGTGTATCTCAAGTGATCGGCGTGCGATCGGACAATCCGCAAACACCACGTGGATTTAACAGGTATGTCGTTCGTTACCGTAAGAGATCCTCGGAATTATCTGAAAGGTACGTATTTTCTCGTCGCCGGGTCGCGCAAAATTCGTGGCGGACGGCTACCTCGCGCGTTAACTCGTGCGCATCATATCTCGCGTGCAATGTCTCGTGTGCGTTTCGATTTGTCGCGCGACGATAAACCGTGCGGGGAGAAGAACGCACTGGTGTGATGAGATTTGTTTTCTCGCGTGCGACGCGCGAAACGGTTAGAACCGGTGGCATGAGTTTACGATAAGCAGCAAGATGGAGGAAGGGAAGCGTCTCTCCGGCAAACAATCGCGTCATTCCGACTTTTTTTTTTTTTTTTTTTTTTTTTTTTTCGCAATTATTGATCTCGACATGCCCCATCTAGTCGGGCGTTACGCGTAGAAATGCCTAACAAACGCATGAAAATTTTATCGAAATAAAATTCTTGAGGAAGATTTTTTTTTTTTTTATCGCTTAGTTCGTTCTGGAAGAACTTTGTATATC